CCTCCCGGCCGCATTGTGACGTAGCGGGGCCGCAGCAACGCCTCACCGCCCGCCCCATCTCCCGCCGCTCCCGCCGTCTGTCGGTCCATCCCGCCAGCCGTCCTTCCTTCTGCGCCCCGGGTGAGTCCAGGTTCCCCGGCGGGCGCCGCGGGAAGGCGAGGGGCGCGGGCGGCGGCGGCCGGGCTGTGCAACTTTGCAGCGGGCAACACCCTCCCTCGGGTCCCCCAGCCCCCGGCCCCCTTTGTGCCTGGAGTCCCGGCTGCCCCCGGCTGCAACCCCGCTGCCGAAAGGGCTTAGCTGGAGATCAGGGTAGTAACCAGGCGGCTGCACCGGGGACTGGCAGCTCCAGCCCCTGTCCTCAGCCTCGCTCTGCACTGGATTGTTCTTTTCATTGGCCCTCTGCGCGGGTATTATGCTGGCTGCTACCTCGGATGGTCCTGGAGGCTGGATGGGCAGTGCGGGGGCTCCTCGGAGCGCCTAGGGAGGGGCGAAGTCATAGCAATAACCACACTAGTGGCCCTAAAGGAGACGCCCGGCTCTGTTGCTCCCCGAGGGAAGCCCCCAGCCCATCAGCCCCGCGGTGCCCAGGCTGCCCCGTCCAGCCTCTGCTCTGCCACCTCCCGGCGCTGTCCGGCGTCCCGGGGCTGGTCTATTTCAGCCAGAAGGTTTCTTTCCGGACCTCTGTGCGGATGACTTTCGTCTGCAGGTGGTAAGTGGTGGGGAACCCAATGTTGGCTATTGTCAAAGGCCACGTTTTGTTTATTTCATTTTTACGAAAAGAAAAGGGGGGAAAATTATGAGCCATTTCTGGCAGCCATACAGTTTCCACAGGAAATACTAGCATTCTTTGAGGAACACGCTACTGCTTGCAGCAAAGAAAGTCTTTAGGAAACAAAAAGGCAAAAGCATTGTTGCTCATTTTCAATGGACCGCTAGGAGGGTGGAAACGTGTTGTTTTTTTCCTGTGGGAACATTGCTTTCCTTGGGAAAGTTAATTAAGGAAGCATTGCTGTCAGTGCCCATTTTTTCACTTGCTGGAGGTGGGGCCCCCTTTCTCCCGGCTGTTACTGACAAGTGTCCATCAAACAGCCGGGAGGAAAAAGGAGCCCCTGCAGGCCAGTCTCGCCACACACCACGTGCCATGGAGCCCTGCCAGGGTGCAGTTTTCAAAATGAAATAAGGGCTGTCTGGGGAGGTTTATGAGGATTACATGTGTGCAGAATATGTCAGTTCTCTGAGGTGTCACTCTAAACCTGTAATGGTCAAGCATCATTTTCAGTGCTGAATCGGCAAGAAGGCAAAACCTATTTCTCATTATGCAGCAGACGTCTCGGTTGGGAACAGATTAAAATCTGCGTTTCGTTTGTACATATTGAACATTTTAAAGGCTAAGAGAGCAAGATGTGGGAAGTCAGTATGCTAATGCGTACACACCTGGGAGGGACTGTCTACTGGCTGATTTTGATGTGTCTTGATATTAAATTACTTTCTGTGTAGCAGGGTGCCGGGGGACACCTTTAAACTGTCCTTACAACTATTAGAAAAATGTATGATTTTTTTTAGGATTGATCACAGAAATCTCTGTGAGGGAGTATTAGATGAGGATTACCCATAATCAAATACACACAAGTTTCCAGTTCTAGAATCAGAAAGAAAATGATGCTTCTCTTAAAGGCCATTGAACATCTCTGTTAACAATACAATGTAAAGGGAGGATTTTTAAAAGAAGGGTTATACTTTTGAATACATATGGGAAACTTCATTGTTCTGCAAGCATTTCATGAAAAGACAATGCTGAATCCATTAATGTGATGTTTACTGTGTGTCCATGTCTGAGAGGAAGTGACTAAAACAAGTGGATTTCTGGCTGCCATGTCACAGCTTTGCTGAGTCCAGGCAGCTGTTCCAGTGCAGGTGTACAGTGGACATGGAGAACAGAAGCCAAGAAACTTAGCCTCTGCTGTTGTCTTGGGAGGACTTGTAGCAGTACTTTAATACTCCTAGGAGGAGGGAAACCTCGCACAAACACCTAATGTAAACAAATGACCTTTGATATTATCAGAGAAAGCCTGGAGCCATGTTTCTTGCCAGATTTAAGGCATTTCTTGTGAAAAGAGGAAATCTCCCAAGAAGCAGGTTCATCATTATAAGAAACACAAGGGACTTTCTCTTTGAATGCAAAAATCTAATTGAAGAGCGGCAAGAGAATTAGTGATGCGTAGCTTTTGGCACTCTTTCAGGTTCAGATGCAAACCCCATAGGAAAAATGTGTATCTTCAGAGAAAAATCTGTGGTGAAAATCAAACGGTCATTTCTGTGGATTGTGTATCCTTAGGTACTTGCTGACTTTTGTTCCTTTGATTTGCCAAGTCACTTACAGAGCAAAATCTCCTAAAAATGAATCCATAGTTTGGTTTTGGTTACTTAGCTATATATTATACATTATTTTGCAATTTGAAAGCTGGACTTTATATTTTATGGTTTGCCACTTAGCTCTTTTATTAAGCTTTTAAAATTAATGATCAAAGCCAAGAATACCTATAATTTCAACATCCAAGAGGCAGAGGCAGGGGGATCACCCCAAGGTCAAGCATACCCTGGGATACATAGTGACTTCCAGGCCATCCAAAGCTTCCCAAATCAGAGCCTTTCTCAAAATAAAAATACCAGTTAAAAATTAAAATTGATGATCAAAGTGATGATTGTAGATTGATGGTTGAGGCGCGCAAAAGTACTAGTTGGTTCTTACTGTATATTCATTTTGTGTATATGTGGAATGTAAAAAAGTAAAATGCAAAGGCTGGAAAGATAGTTCAGTGGTTAAGAGCACCTGCCGCTCTTCCAGAGGACCCAAGTTCCATTCTGGACACCTACATAGGACAGCGCAGAACTGTGTATACCTCTAGTTCCACAGCATCTGATGACATTCTCTGGTCTCTGAGGACACCTGCACATGTGACACATTCTCATACAGACACATACATATAAATAAAACTTTTTAAAACTTCTAAAATATATGTATATATGATACATAATCTCTTCACAAGGAACATAAAATGAAAGTATAAAATGGTTCAAAATTTAAATCATGATACAGAACGTGGAAGAAGACATGTTATCATTAAGTGACCAAGAAACGAAATAATCACTGAAAAAGAATTTGGAGAAGAAAGCAAAAATGTTGCTTAGATGTCTTAACAGTTACCCATTGACTGCTTATAGTGTGTCACACCAAAATTTAGTTGCTTAAAATAACTAGTAAATCTCATGATTCTGTGGGTTGGCAATTTTGTCTGTGCTTCAGTAAGTAGTTCTGCTTTTCCTAGTTGAGATCCCCTAGGCATCTCGTCAGTCAGTTGTCCTGATGGTCTTGGATCTTGGATGGCCTTGACCACGTGTCTGGCAGTTATTGGGCCACTGAAAAAAGTACACAGGTGACTGGGATATGAACCATTCTTCTCTAGCAAGCTGTCTTTGGTTTCTTCACACAGCAGCCAAATCACATTCAGAGAGTAATGAAAGAACAACTTTCAGGGCAGAAACGGCTGCTAAGCGATTCTCTTACTGTCTACACCAAGTTATAAGGTCACCTTAGAGTCAAAGGACTTAGAAAGACTCCATCTGAGATGAGAGAGAACTACAAAAAAATTATAGCTTTTTTAAAATGTTATATCTTTGAGTACACTTGTTTCCAGAAAAGGCATTCTGCTAATGCCAGTGGAATATAAAAAGTAGAGTTTGCTCACTTATGGGGAGCCTAGCAGTTGTGTTAAGCATTGCCCATTGTGTCATTGTCTCGTAATCTCTGTAAAGCAAAGGTATAAGAGGAATGGCATAATGATAGTAAAAATTTATCCTTGTCCTTCTAACAGTGGCATTGAGATGGAGACAGTGGTCCGATGGCAGAGTCAGCAGAATGTGGCTGGAAGGACGGGAAGCTTTGACAAAGGGATACACATGGAAAATGGGAAGCAAGGGATCCATTGGGAGGTCCAAGATTGGGGACTAGGTGACTGATTATAGGGTTAGTGAAAACAGAAAGTCAAAATCATTCTGCAGCTTTAAATAGTTTAAGTGACCCAAAGAATGATTGTGGTCTTCTGAGAAGAGGAGGAGAAAAATTCAGGTTGATTAAAAGAGATAAATTGAAGGCAAAAGTACTTTACAAGCTACAGAGTATGTTGGGTGTTAGCTATTGCTTAGTGTTTATGTTTCAGTGAACTATTGTGAATAGATAAGTGTCTTTAGTTGTAAAGCAACAGAAAACTAAATATGACATCAAGGTTTCCTTAAGATGTTAAAAGGAAGTCAGAAGAACAGGCTAGAAGCAACTGTTCTAGGACTCTGGAGAGAAGAACAGATGTTCTTCTGAGGCACAACTGGAGTTTGGCCTTGAAGCACTGTCCCCTAGACCCAGCATACAGGCAAGAGCACCCCTTTGGCCTTGCTGAGTGACAGGTGTACTCTTGATCCAGAAGCATTTCTTGACAGTCTCTCCAAGAGGGTGTGGATTGGGAGTTAGTAAATGTGTCCTCAAAGAACACTGCCACCAGAAGTGTGGCTAGACACAGGGTGGCACAATCAGCAGATGCTCACTGCAGAATACGTGAAGCTTTATTTCCCTAGCCATCAGGAAGTAAGGCAGGAAGCAACAACTGAGGCATATTTACATTGAGCACCTGCAGGTGGATTCATAGTAATTAAACCCATGCAAGTAGTCAGATTCTCTCATGGAAAGCAAAGACAGCCTTGCACAATGTCTCATATTCAGATTTCGATTTCTCCATAAATGTTAGCAGACATTTTACTAGAAAGGATTGGAATTCTAAACACATTCTGCTCTGTCCTCCTGAGGACTTGTTTAAGTTGCAGCTTCACCAGCCTCTTTTATAGATAACCAGACAGAAATTTGGGCAGTGTCCTTACCAACAAGTGCAGCTGTTAGGCCAGACAGAACATCTGGCCTCAGTGACTTCACACAATTAGTCTGAATAGCAATACAGCTGGTCTTTATGGAAGAGCCTTGGATGGACCATCTTAAACCTGAGCATACACTTTTATAGTTTTTTTTATTGCACAAGCCTAAGAACCCTGAAGATACTCAATAAATGTTAATTGAATGAGTGAATGTGCCATTATCTGGTGCAGTAACATTTTCTAAAACAGTCTGCTCTGGCTTTTCATTATTCAGGGTAGAGTTGACTATAAAATCCCTAAGTGACTTTTGTACACAAATGTTTTAAGACATTCTTATCACAGTAATGTCATTTGTTTCTAACCAACCACTCATTTAAAAATAACTTTTTCCTTTTTGCAATAAATTATTAGGAGTCATTCTTATTTGTAAGTAAGAGAAACATAGTCTACACTTACTCAAGTAGGAAGGGATAAACACTGATTAATGGACAAGTTCATGAAGGATCCAATTTTTGTTTCCTTTCTCTTACATGTTAACAGAGTGATGGTTGCTAACCTGAAGTCTAACCTGCTCAGTGAAGAGGTGAATCCAGAATCGGCTCTGATTAAAACACTTTGATCACATGTATGTCTCATCTATGTGCTGTAGCCAAATATCTGGACCATACCAGTTGGTTTGACTTTGATTATGGGCCCAGACTTGGGGCCCTGTGGAAGGGAGGGTGTTATAAGAGGAATTGGGACCAAGGAATTAATGGTTTAGAGCTACAGGAGACACATTAGAGGGCAGTC